GTAAGATGGCTTGCCTGAGTAAGGCTGCAAATGAAAAATCAATAACACAATATTTCTTGAACTTACATTCTGATTACTTTATTAGCCAAGATTTTCTGGCCAAATAACATCACTTTTGTTTCCAAAACTGAGGAAAAAACAAACAATATGAGCATTTCTAGGATTCATAATTCAGTTATGAAAGTTACAAGTACATATGACAAAAGAAAACCCTCTTCTGTCATTGAGCTGAGTAGATCCTCTAATAGTTTCATCATTGTAAACAAGTGTTTAAAAATTATATATAATGTGAAGAATTTATTTATAGCAAATCATAATTAAATCTGTAACATGCACCTGTCTTCAGAAACTATCAGAATAAAATTATTATGATGAGAAACTAAACATTTTAAATTAATCATAATATTCCATACTGCATTAGGTAAACTGTGTGCTGATGCGAGGATTCAATGATGATGAGATCTGCGACTTCGTTCGACTGACAGAAGACCGTGCTTTAGATATCCGATTTATTGAATACATGCCATTTACTGGCAACAAATGGATTGATGAGAAAATGGTGTCATACCATGAAATGGTCCAGATATTGAAAGCACATTGGCCAGATATTCATACTTTGCCAAATGGCCCCAATGATACATCCAAGGTAGGAATCATAACTGCTTACAAGCCAAGACATAGTTATAGGTACCTGATACAGTTTTAATTATTGTTACAGATTATAAATAAGTAAGTATTGGCTATTGATCCTGTGGTTCTTGTTCTTGAATTATATAATTTAAGATAGTATCATGTCAAACAGAAATACTGTTAGAACACAGCAAAACCACATAAAGAGTTCATTCTTTAAATATCTATATTTGGATCCTTTGGGTTTTTTATTTCAAAATCTACCCCTTCAGTGGTCATGTTTCTATTGCATACTGATTTCTTTCCTTGTTTTTTCAAGTTTCCCACAATTATCTTTCCATATATATAAAAACACACACACAGTTTTTGTCCAAGAACCACTCACAGATGACCACAGCAAATCTCATAACTGCAACAATATATGTAGACCACTTACTGGTTTCCAGCAATAGAAGTTCACAACCAAGAATTTGGCATGTTTGTATGCAACTTTTTAATTATCTGTTCTCCAGAAATATGAATTTAGTTATGTATATTTTTAGCTACATTTATAATGTTTAAAAATTGAAACAAGTGACTACTAGAGAAATCTTACACATTTTTCTTGTTTAATGGCAGCCATGTACATTAGTACCCACATAAATGGGTGAGGAGGAGAAGATGAACATGACAGAGTAAAATTACATACTATGACTCCTCCCCTCGAAGATACAATTGACTAACATTGACATGTGGTACAAATTCCAAATGCAATTTGGAAGTTTTATATGGTGGCAAATTCCTTGATATCCAAACAAAACTGCTGGTAGTCTGTCATGTTTTGTTATGTATCTATATTAATTTCTTTAAAAATTTGTTGTCATATGCAGGCATATAAAGTCCCTGGTTTCAAGGGACAAATTGGATTTATAACTTCTATGAGTGAACACTTTTGCGGTTCATGCAACCGTCTTCGAATCACAGCAGATGGAAATCTTAAAGTGTGCCTCTTCGGAAATGCTGAGATCTCTCTCAGGTAAAAAAGTGTTAAAACAGTACAATAATAAAAATATCACATATAAAAAGCATCATACTTCAAGTCACTATCTAACCACATAAGTGTTAACATTTACAGGGATGCAATGCGTAATGGATGCAGCGAAGCTGATTTACTGGCATTAATTGGAGCAGCTGTACAAAGAAAGAAGCAACAGCATGCAGGTAAGCCATATGACAAACCAACAGATTTTCCCCATCAGTAAGGCACCAGCATCTACAACATGGACACCATTTCCTGGTGTGACTGTTGATAATGTGGCAGTCTCTGCAGCACTACTTTCATCTCTGACTCCATACAGCAAAGTGCTTATTGACAACCTAACAGTCACTCAGCTAATTTTCCACTTGTTATGGAACCCAAAGTTTCATTACTGTATTCACAAGAGCCTACCATTGCACTCTATCCTACGTCAGATAACACCAATCCACATCATCAGAATTGGTTTATGATCCATTTTAGTATTATATTCCCATATATGTCTATGCTTCCTGAGTGATCTCTTCCCTTCAGGTTTCCTGATACATTTTTTGTGAATTTCTAATCTCTTTACATACCCCATCCATCTCCTCCTCAGTACGATCACCCAAATATTTGGTGAAGAGTACAATTTATAAAGCTTTTCATCATGCATCTCTCTCCAACCTCCTGCTACTTCTGCTTTCTTAGATCCAAATATACTTCTCAGCACCATTTTCAAACACCCTCAGTTGATGTTCTTCCCATACAGCAAGAGATTAAGTTTCATACCCATATCTCATGTCCATTTTGCATTGTATATGATGTTGCAAATAATTTGTCAAAGTCTGAGGCATGAAAGATGTCACTTAAACACATCAACCTTGACTTCTATGTTGTTGCATCTGATCCTGCTCAAAGACTGGACATTTCTTACATGGCATATTTCATCTGTTCTTTTAGTATAAAATCATATCACAATCTTTCATAGCTAAAGAATGGTAACTCCACAGAGCAGAGTCCTTGAGAACCTAATAGTATGCTCAGCTAGTCAAGAAATTCCTTGCCTTTTATGGAACCCAAAGGTTCATTACTGTGTTCAAAAGCACATGCCACTGGTCCCTATCCTGTACTAGATGAATTTGAAAAGTATTTTGTTGTCTAGCATCAAACAGGAATTTACTGAAAAATCTGTACCACATAATACTACTGGGCCACAAAATGTTGCTGTGAAAACATTTTTTGTGGCATATAGATTTCATCATTTAGTATTATAAGAAAAATGATGTATAGTCATACAAAAATGCTTGGCTTGACATCATAAACAACAGTCATTTCTTACAGGTATGCAGAATCTTTCTAAGATGAAGAATCGACCTATGATTCTTATTGGTGGATGACTATCATGTATGTACATCTGTATGAAAAAAATAGTTCTAGTGGTTTAGAATGAAGAAAGGAATTAAAATAAATTTTATGACATATCTGACTGGACACTCATAATCCATCTATAGGAGACAAACTTTTTCTCTTATTTCCCAATTTTATCAAATGTTCAATCACAGAAATTTTACTTTCAGTATTCACTGGCTGTCTTAAAACATTCTTTTAACAATCTTGTTATAACTGGCTATTCATCTTCAGGCACAGTGTTTAAGCACAAGGTTAGATGAATGATATGAATTCAATATTTCAATTCTTTTCCAGGTCAGACAACTGCCTATAATTTGCACTGGAATCTGAACACAAAAAACTACCAGCTAAACAGAACTTCAAATATACCTCATGTATGGAATCCGAATTTCTTTCTGAACCCCATAAATACAGGAATTAAAAATAAATTAAAAACACTTAATATACGTAGCTTCTGCTCTCTCACAAATGATAATCTGACACATGTAGATGAAAAAGGTCAAGCAGCAATGGTTGATGTTGGCAACAAAAGTGTCACATCTCGTATAGCCATGGCCCAAGCTGTAGTAGAAGTTGGAGCTCATATATTAGAACTCATTGAGCAGAACAACCTGAAGAAAGGAGATGTGCTGACTACTGCCCAACTTGCTGGCATAATGGCTGCTAAACGGACATCTGAACTGATTCCTCTGTGTCATAATATACCACTATCACATGTGAAGGTAGACTTGAAATTGGACAAAGAAAGTCATGCTGTCATTATCACGTCTGCAGCAAAGTGTGAAGGTAAGACTGGTGTGGAAATGGAAGCTCTTACAGCTGCTGCAGTATCAGCTCTGACCATCTATGATATGTGCAAAGCTGTGAGCCATGACATAATCATTTCAGAAGTCAAACTAGTGTTCAAGACTGGTGGTGTTAGAGGTGACTTCAACAGGAAGTAATTCCAACAGAATAACCTAATTTTTAAAATGTATTACATGACAACCTCCTGTACAGCAGGGATGATGTTATGATGCAAGATCTTTCCAAATAACAATGCTTGTTCACTGTTTGACCTCACTTTTTCCACATTTTCATCTGTCTGGTGAGTGTCTGGACTTCCAGGTCTTTCCTGACCCTCTTTATACTTTTTATGCCACTCAAAGACACTTGACATTTTCATAGCATCAGCATCTAAGCCTCTGTTAACATCTGCAAAGTTTTACTCATGCTTCTACCTAACTCTGCACAAAACTTGATGTTAATGCATTGCTCCAACCACCAATCACTCATTTTTCCACCAGGATGAAAATACATGCTCACGTAACTCTGCCACTGCTTCGCTACTGTCACCTTATTTGCTTCATAAACATACAAGACACAACTACAGACATCATAATATGTCGCTGCTTAGTTACTGCTCACTACTCAATGTGATATATGTGGGTATTCCAGCAATTTAATTGTCATACCTCATACAGCACATTTATATAGAATAACTCACTTACATATCAAGTACTCTGATGTAACGAAGTCCACATATTCGACTCTCCTATATTTTGCTACGTGAAGAATTTATTCTACATGGTCATGGATAAAAAGAAACTTAAAACACCAAAAAATACTTCTCCAAGTCAAATAAACCACCTCATAACATCAGGTAATAGAGGACCAAACAACTCCTGAAACCAACATGTTTCCTGGATAATTTCAAAAGAATAAATTAAACCATTTATTGATATCAGCATATGTTAGACTTACTCATTTAAGCCTATGTACAGTAGAAGAAGTGAAGGAATTCTGTTATTTAGGAAGCAAAATCACAAAAGATGGATGAAGCAAGGAAGACATTAAAAGCAGATTAGCACAAGAAAAAAGAGCCTTCTTCAAAAAGAGAAGTCTACTAGTGTAAAACATTTACCTGGAATTAAGAAAGATTTTTCTGAAGTTATATGTTTGGAGCACAGTGCTATATGGAAGCAAAACATGGTCAGTGGGAAAGCCAGAAAGAAGAAGGATAGAAGCATTTGAAATGTGGTGCTATAGAAGAATGCTGAAAATTAAGTGGACTGATAAAGTACGAAATAAGCTGGTCTTAGACAGGATAAGCGAAAGAAGAAGTCTAGGGAAAAATCTTACCAGAAAAAGAGATAGGATGGTGGGACACATTCTGAGGCACCCAGGATTGGTTAATTTGGTAATGGAAGGTACAGTTGAAGGGAAAAATTGTAGGGGGAGACAAAGATTGGAATATGTGACGCAGATTTTTGAGGACATGGGCTACAAAAAATAGGTGGAAATGAAGAGATTGGCGCAAGATAGGCGAAAATGGAGGACCGCATCAAACCAGTCGAAAGACTGATGACAAATAAACAAACAAATTACTTATAATATTTTACCTGCTCTGAAGTGAGGCCTCAGAATCGGACACTTGTGTTGGGGAAGTTCCCTCTAGAAGAAGTACTAGCACTTGTTCCTGCCACATTACCCTGGACAGCTGCTGTTACTGCCACCTTGCTACCCTCTTCATGAGTTTTTACTGTGAGACTAGTCCGAGGTCCAGTACGCCATACATTACTCTTTTCATCTATTACTGATGCCTCCACAATCAACAAATACTGACCACCAGTTGGAAATGCTAGAAGGAACTGTGCTGTAAAGAAATCACGATGTGGAGCAACTGTCTGGGTTAACACAGATCCTCCATCTCCAACAATCTGAAATAAATCAGTTTGTTTCAAACTACCAGTCCATGAAAGTGCATATTTTTATGTGTAAGTTGTGAAGAGTGAGCAATGACTGACAGCAGAAATAAGAATGTCAAAGATTAAACCTGTAAAGTCCTGTTTTGTCAGATATATTCTATCAATGATTGCCCACAAACTTGGTCACAGTGTCATAGTTCATGACAAGTTCGTTAATTCTGTATCTACATTATAAGCATTCATGGTCAAGTTTTGTAATAATCCAGAAGCCAAGGAGTTCACATTATCAAACTTATTACAAAGAAACTAAAGGTTTTGTTAATTAGACATGTGAAATTAACACTGAAGATGTTTTGTGAAAAATGTTGATTCATAACTTAATGTTTATTGGCATAAAATAATTTTAGTAGTACAAAAGCATGTTACATTCCACAAACCAAAAAAATCAATGTTCTTTACTTACACTCTTTGGTTCCCAAACTATCCACTTATTTCCAGATGTAAAAAAGGACCATAAGCCATTGTTTTATGCTGTCAGTTTCTTAGATTTAATAATGACCTATGAGTCCACATATCAAATTCATCAAACAAAGAAACATTATTAACTGTTACAAATTCACTAGAAAGGAAAGTTCCTACTTAATACCACTGATCAGTATTTATCTGCCAACTTTCAGTCAGTCATTCCTTCCAATAAGTAGGTAGAAACAACATTAATACAATTTATTCAACCCAAACACAAGAAATATGTAATTAAAATATTCTTTACATACTGCCTCTTATAATGTCCAGTATGGATAACATAATGAAATGTCATGCTCGGATAATCATTACTTTGATTTCTTTTGTACATATCTGCCATGATACTACTTAAAAAGGATTCCTTGAAATCTCCAATTTTATTCTTCATCCTGTGGTATTAATAAGTCTATATTTTCTCATAATTTTAATCAAATTCAAGGTCAGATATAGAGCTACTAAATATAGCCAACAAAAACCCACTATGTTTACATAACAAAAGATATGACTGATATCATATTAGGGAACATCATAATCAGACATGTTTCTGTCACAAAAACTCTGTAAATATTACTACATGCATGTTGGCTGTTTTATGGACTGAAAGGTGTCATAATTTTTTTAAAAAAAAAATGTTCAGTGAAATACATAATGCACATTATATTTTCATATGCTGTAAATTTGTTTTAATTTATTAATATGTAATGCAATAAAACAAGTCACATAATGTCATTCAGGAATTTATTTTTGTGTGAATGATGTGCTGTGTATATGACAGGATATAGAAAGTTGGATCCTTACCTTAGTATCATGATTAGTGTGAACTGAGCGAGCCTGAAGTTGGGAAGACACAGTTACAACCACCCCACTGACTCGTCGGAACAGACCAGGTCTCTTACCATGCTGGATTACACCCTCCACCTTCACAGCAAGTTGAGAACCACTTTGTACACTTATAGACTCCCCCACGACCCGGGGTTGAGGAGATATAGCCAACTGCAAAGTTGATCATTATAGGAAAAATTAGGGTTACACTACTGTTCCTGTTGCTTTAGATTAAGATAGACACATTCTACAAATGAAGGAAACTGATCAGATGAAGATGAGATTAAGGTCATAACTTCAAATAAAAGCACGACAAAAATTTAATTTTCTATGAATGAATATTTCAATTTATTTCTGTAAACAACAAAGTGTTAGTAATTACATTACAAACAGTGGGTTTTCAACATCTTCATTACTAGGAATTTTGTATGACCAAGAATTAAATTGTGTTCTTAATTGTGAAAATATGCAGAGCAGAATCATGTTTAATTACAATATTTGATTCACTTTCAATCAGTGATGAGGTTAAAAATGTGTGGAGTTACACCTCCACTACCCCATACACCTGCAAGGTATGGTGCTTAATTCATAACAGGCCACAAATTGCTTAATGTCTTGAATAAACTGTGTCAATATTAATATGTTTTGCAAGCACCTGCTGTCAAACTAAAATCACCTGCAGAACATTTTTTAACACTTTCATTTCATCCACACATTCATCAATGTAATGTCATTCAAATGCCTCTCTAAGCCAATTAGACCATGACATAACAAAGATTAATTAATGTAAAGCAATAAAATAACAAATTTAGACAGAACACTACAAAAAGATTTTATGTTACACATTCCTTCTCTGTAAAGAGACAGTTATTAAAAAAGATCTAAAAGGGACTATATAAGATAATTTGACAACTACCTTGACACTTGTTGACTGAAGAACCTGGAAGAAATATCGTGGGAGACATAAGGAAGATTCTGCCAGGATCTCCACTTGCCTTAATAAGCAATCAATATGCTGCAATGAAGAATGCAGATAATTACAATTCAGTCTTTTGTATCAAACATAAGATAATGTTCATTAAGAAATAAAGTCCAGAATTTTTCATAAACTATGTGTAGGTTATTAATGATGCAGTTTGATCACAGCCATAATAATAAAACTGCCCTTCCTGCATATCAAAAGTAGAAGTTATGAAGCTCCTAAATCTAGAACATTGTAACACAAATTTAAATTAACAGTTCAGGCTACCTGTTAAACATATTTTAAAATTTAACAGTAAGAAAGTAAATCCAAACCAGTAGAATCTGTGACTCACATTCTTACTTTTGTAAAATATTACTATAAAGTGTAATTTTGTTACAGCCCTAACTATATCTTTCATTTTATTTCCATACCTGATGTGTAATGGTTTTAAGATCTTCGTTTCTAGTCAACTGTTGTGCTACCACACTGGCCTCTTGGCAGCATCGAATCAGGTGCTGCGTTTCCAAATTTGTTTGCTGGTAGCTTAAATGGAATAGCTGAATTATAAATAAGTTTCTAAACTGTACATGGTTCTAATGTATTAAATTCCTGTATTCAGAGGGATCAAATGATTTGTTTACATAAACAACTCTGGGGATGACGGCTGTCTTCTGGGTTGTTGTGCTGTATAGTCTGGTAGAAGTTTACTAACATTTCAGAGGTTCTTGCTGCCTCCAACATCAGTTACCTTCATACTAACCACCATGAGAACCTCAAGTCCTAAATCTGAGGATATGCAATACAATTTCTTAAGATCAAGAAACCTCATACTAGAGCTGTTAGTTCATACTAAATAGGTTGAATATCTGGGGCAGTGTATTACATAAAGGTAAAGTTGTCTCTGGTGTTTATTAAGCACCGTGCAATGAAGATGTATGGGATAGTAGAGGTATAGTTCCACTCTCTCTTGACCTCGGTACTAGACAGATGTGAGCAGTCAGTGTCACACCCTGGTACACATTTAATAATGAGGCTGGGTAGATCCCAAAACCAGTCTGGATGTAGAGACTAAGACAAATATCTAATGGCCCTACCAGGAATCAAACTGGTTATCCAGTATGTAGTTGGTCATTATACTGACTGAGATACCCTGGCTTCTCCATGTATTACATAAAATGAAGTAAACATTCAGCATTAAACAGAAACCAAATCATATTCCAAACAAACACTACAGCCATCTATAAAACAAATTCATAGCATGACTGGTCACATAATTTTTGTACAATGTACCATGAAAAACAAAACAGTTTACAGGGCTAGTCTAAATGATGTTCCTGATTTGAAACACGTTACTCACGTTTTATGAAATTCAGATGCACAAAATTGGTACCGATGGAAAGAGAAACTCTCCAAGTTTATGTTAGTATACTTCTCGGCCGCGTAGTAACACTGTTCGCCGCCAGGGGCGATATGAGAGAAAATGGCTGCCATCGAAGACAGGGGAGCCTTTTGTGTCCTGGATTTCCACGTTCACTGGTCTGTTATTAGTGTGCAACGGCATTTCCAAACCAAGTTTGCGGCAGATTAACCCAGTGGGCATACAATTCGTAAGTGGTATTCCGAATTTAAGAAAAGGGGCTGCATCTGTAAGAGAAAGTCAACCGGCCGCCCGTTGGTAAGCAAGGAAACAGAGGAGCGGGTCCGTGTACGTTTCACATGCAGTTACCAAGGGGGCTCACATTGAACACCTGTGATGTACTGAAAAAAAACTTGGAGAGTTTCTCTTTCCATCGGTACCAATTTTGTGCATCTGAATTTCATTAAACGTGAGTAGCATGTCTTTCATATCGGGAACATCATTTAGACTAGCCCTGTATTTCTGTGTATAGAATGTATACCAGCACTTACATGTGCATCTTCCCACTCTTGTTTTTTACCAATCTTACTTTTGAATGCATGTTTGATCTATCTCACCTGAACTCCAATAAGATCTCATCTTGATAATTGGCTTGAGCTACTCTCTCCACACTATGAGCCATCAGTACACACATCTGCTGTAGGCTAAGATGAAATTAAGGATAAAGACAGTAGTCCAAACACATATAAAAAAAATCTGTCCCACTATACACCATCGAGGCGCTTGGGGGGAGAGGCAGTATAGCTACTACTCATTCGTAACCTTGGCACTAAGTGGGGGTGAGTGGTTAGTGTCACACCCCAGCCACGCTTTACCCCTGGCAAAGGACCCCGGTACCCATTGGATAGGAGGCTGGGTGGGCCCCAGAGCCAGTCTGGATGCAGATGTTAGAGGAAGAATCCTCTGCCCCTGTCAGGGATCAAACCCTGGTCATCCAGTCTGTAGCCAGTCACTATCCTGAACTACCCCGGCTCAGTCGAAACACATATATGGGTCTAAAAATACTAAATCTTTCAACAGTCTCCTTTAAAATGACTCATCACAAAGCCCTGAAGTGGCACACAAGCTGACATGTATTCATACATTCTGTCACTAAACACGGGCCAAAGCCAAAATGTGTGTCCACAGAGACTTATAACATAAATTCTGTATACTGACATCAATATCAATGTGGTTTTCCTCAGTAAGAACAGCATTCTATTAATTACAACAAAAAGAGTGTTTCTTTATGTGAATTTTAATACCAGTACTAAAATAATGTGGCTGAGACCAGATTTCTATAGTGCTGAACAGGAGAATGATTGTGAAAGAGAAATTAGAAAGGATATGAAAGTGACTGGGTGCCATATTCAAGGTAGTGTCCAAGCAGAAGTACTAACCACTCTACTGCAGCAATTGGTAGCTCTGTTTTATACATACAAATTATCAATTTACACATGACAGAAATGTTTTTTGAAGGATACATTTGAATGTTAGCAAGGGAAGCAGGATCAGCATCAAAGGCACTCTGATACAGTTTCCAGTAGAGTTCACCACAGGATCGAAATTCCTTTGCACACTTCCTTAACTAAGGACCAAGAAAAGCAAAATAAAATGTAATAATTTAATGGTGCTGATATTTTTAATAGATTGTATATAGAAGTTTCCACAGTTAAAAGCTTCACAGCCTTCAGATTGATCTTTTATGAAATTTCACAAAGAATTACCAGTTATGGCTTACTATGAAAGTTTAACCCAACTTTTGGCTGGAGAAACTAACGCCAGTTTTCAGGATCAAACACAACATTATCTAAATGTGCAACACCCTCAATTTAAAATACAGTAGGTAATATAGATAAATGAACTGAATGGTATGGCACCTGAATTCATATAAACCTCTAAGAGTCAGTTATCCCATCTCCTACAAATGCAGTAAGAAAAAACAGATTTTCTCTGTCCTTCAACAACATGTAATCTACAGTGGATAAGTAAACATTTCCCGTGAGACACAAGCCAAGATGCTCATGATAACATCTACTATATTTTTAAGCTGTACCTGATTTGTGATGTGTCCATATCGCTGTAAGTTATCCCGAGTTGTTTCTGCAATTGCTGATGCTACAGCTGGAGGAGGGGCTGTGCACAGGCTGTGACATGTGTGCACCATCTGTGCCAGACATTGTAAGAACTCAGCTCTCAGCCTGGTGTACTCTGACTGAAACTGCAAGCTCTGCACAGGGGTACTTGCAGCCTATAACATCACCAACACTTCGTTTTACATCACTGAACAAGGAGATCTATCTACCAGTGCCATATTATGTCTAATTTCCTTCTAGAGCAAACTTTCTGAATGTCATATATTGTGCAACCAATCTCGGTTATAACAGCCTACTAAATAAGGCCCTGACAGTTCACCTTATACTGAGCCAGTTCAGTAAGATTCACTGCAGTCATGAAGTGAATGTAAAACAATTGTAGGACTTACATTCTACCAAGACACAGAAACAGACATGGTAAAAACATGCCAACACAAATACGGGAAGCATTCACTCTCCAGAGAAAGAACCCATATATATAATAGCAGGTAGATAAAACCAGATTTCTCATCCTAGGAGTGAATTTTTGAGAGAAGTGATGAATGTCAGCAGAACATAATATGCTTATAAATTAATGCATAAATGAAAGTTCATCATCTAATACCATATATTATGATCAATCGTTCCTGGAATTTACAGCAAAGATTTGAGACAAAGTAACTCAAAAGGTAACATCAACCTCCCTGACATTATTAGCCTTATAATGTAGGTGAGACTATATAAAATGACAAAACAGTACTCAAATACATAGTGTGACCTTGATATAATAAAAATTTATAAAGTTCAGAGAAATGCTTAACCTAAAGGATACTCATAATGCTTGAAAATAGTTGAAATACATCACCTTCAAGTATGTCTTATAACTTCCAACAACATATATTACAATATGGTACTGAGGTTTAAACAACACATAGGCGCATCGATATTTATTATTTTTTCAAATGGTTATCATGGATAAAGAATAAATCAGCATTTTCAACATCTTTAGCATTATATGAACCAAAACGTTTAAGTATTTTATTGCCTTGTATTTTATTAACATACACAATATTAAAAAGAATGTTAGTAAATGTTGAAGGCATTAATGAGATCTATGCTTCATATTATGTACCAATTGTTTGCATGATAAGCCATTGTTAAAGAAACTAATAACTTCAAGTTACATGTGAAGTAGAATCATACTAAATTGACATAAATGAAAATAAATTAAACTACAAACTTAAGTCTAGACCACCCAACACTAAATTTAATTCAAGACCATTCACTAGTTTCAGAGATGAAATATGTGGAATGACATAACCTCCAAATTGTGAGATAATTTTATGTACTCTGTGAAAATTATATAAAAAATTACATTTGGATAGAATAGCTTATATATTCCATCCAGTAATGTGTTCATAGGCTCTGATAAGAACTCCTTTCACAATTAAATGAACCATAATACAAATTCAATGCATCAGTTACCTTAAGTGCTGCGACAGACTTGCTGTAATGTGCCACAGCCTGACTAAGCCGCTGTATGAGACTCGGCTGTTTGGAACAGTCCAGGAGTTCTGCCTCACCACGACTTAGTTCTTCAAGTGACACTAACCAAAAGTGGAAGTGCTCTGAAGACACTTGTTCTCGCAATTGACTCAAAATGCCAGCTGACACACTGTGATGACCATACCTAAAAACAGAAACACATAATGCACATAATGAAAATTCAACATAAAAAACAGCTCAGCTGTTTTACTTTAGTATCAGATGATAAAAACCAGATGTTGCAGTGTTAGCACTCCTGCTCCATCTGAGCCTACACATCATTTGTCTTGACATATTTCTTTAATTTGGAGCCTAACAGGCCCATTGTTTATCCCTAGATGATACATGAGTGAAGAATATGGAGCAGTGGTGAATGATACTAGCAGGTAAAAACTTTCTTATTGCCACTTTGTCCACCACAAAACCCACATGGACTGACATGGCTACAAACTCAGGTCTCAATGATGAGAATCCAGCAATTAAGTGCCTGAGCTATGGCATAGCCAAAGCAAGCACCTTAGAAAAGGCATGAGAGATCAGTTCATATCTCATCACTGCAGAAGTATATATACACTCTGATTACCTGTAGACAAATGATTGGTCACCGTATAATTGTGCAAAGAGTCTGGTTCCTTCCCCTTTGCAGTGATCAGTCATATCAGAACCAAATGATACCTAAAGACAACCAAATGAAACTAGACAGTAGCTATCAAATAATTTGATACTTTCCATCAATAGTGACTGTACTGTGTTGCCACTGGGATGTAGCTGACTCAGAATATCAGTAAAACTATACCACATTGGCAGACATGTATTTATGTGACTGCAGAATGTGATCAAATGCATTCATTACACAAAAAATGAAACAATGCTCTCATTACAACTGGAAAATATTTTTATACTATATTTCTGCATAAAACACTATCAAAATAAACTCCTCATTGTAGGTCTTACTCACTAAATCAGATTTTTACAGTACTTGATTTTGTTCCAATACTATACAATAACAAAAAAGTTACCTGGCAGCAGACCGGGCAATCCTGTAGTTTGACCATAGACTGGTCTTTTCAATAGCTCCTTCTACTGTGCGTCTCGCCTCAATGCTCCATTCATATCCAGCCATGGTTTGAAACAGCAATGTACAAAGCATTACCTTCAACACAAAAATAACAAAACAGGTAAAAGTCTTTGCTCTAAAATCAATATTAATTTTTAACTTAATATTTTGCCTACACTGCTCAAATTTCATGCTAAGCAAGTGCTTAAATAACACATATGTCTACTTTTCACATTCAAATAAATATGTAATTTTGCATAATTGACAAAGAAGTTGCTGGTATAGCAAAATCAGCTTATAATCTTGTATCCTATTAGCTTGTGGGCACAGTAAAACACCAAACAACTACACCCCGCTTCTGATTCAAAATTTGTAAGTTGGTATCAGCTCTATGATCATATGATCCAAAGGCCATGCAGTATGACATTTACATTAAAACATTAGAAACTGTTCAAACAAACCTTGGTATGAACTTGTTCTGTACTGGGCTCTTCAACACACTTCAGATCTCGAAGTTTCTCCAAGATATCTGGTAAGAGAGTGAGTAGAGCTCCAGCCTGCAGACCTCCAATAGCACCAAGAGCTTCACAGAGCTGAACACTGCATGATCCTGAATAAGTCACGGATAACATAACCATTCAGACTCAACAGTAAAAGACCACTAAGTTTAACTTCACTACTTTGGACCCTGAATAATTCAGACTGCCTTATTTTTTATGCATGTATCTTATTTATCCAAATGAAGATTCTCCCTAAATGAGAATTTAATATATTAACATTTTCATAAATGTTAACTTTTTATGGGCTACTCTTGTGTGTGTTCATCTTCCAGTGTGGACACAATGTCATGCAGGATAAGGATCACCAAAACATGAATTAAATCACAAAGCTATATACAGAGAAGAGACTGAGAAAGCATCCACTGTACACCATCAGAATATGGGGCAGACAGACAGCTTTACCATTTACCTTTAATCTGAGTTCATTACAAACATGGCCATAGCTATCAACACAGTCTGTGTTACTGAACAAAGAGAATGCCAACCTGATGTGCCCATGAGACGGGTCCCGATGAGGTCAACAAAACGAGTACAAAGGTCTCGATGCACTTGGCACAAGCTGACTGCACAATGAAGGCAAACTTTAAGTTCATAATTATGTTCCTGCCCTGAGTCACACGTCACCAGGAGGAATAAAGACTCGACAGTGTCCACAGCCTCAGTTACTCCATGAACTGGCATTTCTTCCTTGTAACTAAGACAATGAAACATTATACACTGATAATGATTTATAAATTGAAGAGTCCAGTTCAAAGGTGGGGTGGTTCCAGTTATGGCCTAAATTTAGTGTTACTTTGTTTTATATACAAAATAAAATTGCCTGATGTATTGGTGTAAAAATGGCATGGCTCAAGTTATTAGTTTTCCTTTTATAGTGTAAATTTAGCAACACCATGTAGTTTTAAACAAGAACTTAAATTTTTAAACACTTTCTGCTCTTCTCCAAACATCTGTTAATGTGGAACCATGTTCTTTTTGCACTAGATCCTTCTAGTGTTCCATGAATTAATATTTGTTTATGTTCTGTGGTATTTAATATGGCAGAATTAGTGCTTTAAATCAGGGGAAGACATCTTTATTTTAAACAAATGAAAGTATGAGAATGCCACAGAAAATAATTTTTAAGATATAAACGAGAAGTTAACAGAGAATCAAATAAGAAGTGCAAGTGTGCAAGTATGTGAATTTAATTATGAGCACTTAAGGTACCAGGTATCATATTTAAAGAAACAAGGACAAATAGAATAGATTAATATAATAAAAAAAATGTAAAAGACAATTTTTTTTCTTCAAATATTCGAATAAAACCGTACAAGACAATGGCCAGATCAGTTCATTCACATGGATTAGAGTCTGGAAAATAACAATATTAGAATAGCTGAAACTAGTGGAATTCACTTCCTGAGAACAGTAATAGAAGTTGCATTCTGAGATCAAAAGAAGAGTGAAGATGTTATAAAAAAATTAGAGATTAATAATATTACAGAGAGAATTTCAGACTATAGAAATAAATTATATGAATATGCTAAGAAAATAGAAGAAAATGGTATCTCAAACAGACTTTAATGGGGAGAGAACACAGCATTGGGCATAGTATCTAAAGCTGATGATAATGATGCCAGAGAACACAGAATAAGAGGCACAGGAGACTTGTAAATACCTTTCAAACTAATGCTGAACTAATCCTAAAATGTCTATGATGAAGACAACAATTATAAACTGAAAATAAATACCTAAAAGTCTCAGTAAGTTCACAGTGAAAATCTTCATAATTTATACTGTGATCAAATTGAGAAAGATGAGATGAGCAAAGCATGTAGCATGCATGATAAAGATAAGAAACTAATAGGTCAGAAGGCAAATGTCTTACCAATAACACACAATCCTGGTCATGACTTGTACTGCCTTTGCAGCAATTACAGGATTACTTGAATAGCAACTCTGACTACACAGTTCCATCAAAGGCGAGTCTGAAAGTGTACAGAAAGAAAATACTTCAAAATTACTTCATATAATTCTTCATTCAATACATTTTACTTTCAAGGACGCCCTATGTTATGTCTGAACCATCAAATGTGTCAGCCTACTTCAGTTTAAACAGTAAATGGAACTTCTACACATTTTTATAATGTGTCAGTTAGTACAGCTTCAATCATTTTAAGCACTTACAAATAATACAAGAATATATTCCGGACAAAATACATTTAAGTGTCAGAATATACGAGGGTCGCTCATTAAGTAATGCCCCACATTTTTTTCCTCAGAACATATTTATTCAAGATGGCTCAAATTTAGTGACAATATAAATCAATGTTTCCTTTACACATACTATTTTTCCACATAGTCCCCATCAACTTGTACGGTTTTACGCCAGCGTGGAACAAGTGCATGCATCCCTTGCCGGTACCAGCTCTTGTCCTGTCCCCGTAGCCATGTCCTCACTGCTTGAATCACGCTCTCGTCATCTTCAAATCTTGTTCCGCGGATAGCATCTTTAAGTGGCCCAAAGAGATGGAAGTCGGAGGGTGCCAGATCTGGACTGTAGGGTGGATGGGGTAGCACCGTCCAACCCAATTTGGTGATTTCTTCCCGGGTTCTCAGACTTGTGTGAGGGCGTGCATTGTCGTGCAGGAGCAAAATTTCTGCTGGATGCTTGTGAGGCCGAACTCGTCGAAAACGCTTCTTGAGGGTTTTCAGGGTCCTGATGTACGCGTCTGAATTGATGGTCGCACCTCTTGGCATCACATCCACAAGAATGACCCCATCACTGTCCCAAAAGACAGTCATCATGACTTTTCCGGCGGAGGGAGTTGTCTTGAATTTCTTCTTTCTCGGTGATTGAGGATGATGCCACTCCATTGACTGCCTTTTTGTCTCTGGCTCAAAGTGGTGTATCCAGGTTTCGTCACCTGTAATGATCCGGGACAGAAAGACCTCTCCCTCAGCATCAAAACGCTCCAACAATTCAGAAGAAATCGTTTTCCTTTGAATCCTGTGGTCTGCTGTGAGACTTCGTGGAACCCATCTTGCGCACAGGAGCTCGGTTTCTTCACTTCCTGAAGCTTTAACTCTCTTAGCCCCGCGACCAACGGTGCTCCTATCGACTGCACAGCTTCCATACACAGCACACCAACGTTTATGAATGTTCACCACCGTTTCTTTTTCAGCAACAAGGAATTCAATTACAGCTCGTTGCTTGTACCGAGAGTCGTTCACAGACGCCATTTTAACAGTTCACTACAGCTCCGCTATCGGTTGGAATCATTTGAAACTCCGTACACGAACGCGGGAAACATCAAATCTCAAGCATGTAAAAGTACACTTTTCTATCTTCATTATTGGCTGAGAAAAAAAATGTGGGGCATTACTTAATGAGCGACCCTCGTATATAGTATATGAATCATATTCTTATTTAATAACTTGCTTTACACCTTATTTAATGCTGTGCCACAAAAATATTGTTTGTTTACTTTTGTGTTCTTTTAGCATAAATAAAGTAATGTGGGTCAGTCACTTTTTCAAAATGCTTTATAACACAACTATCTACATATAAACACCTTCATTATTAAGCTCTGTTTAGATTTCCTGTGCTGTGTGGTAAAGCTTATATGTCAACAGATGTTTATGGATATGAGTCCACAATGTCTGCTTCTAACAAAGTAGCATCACTTCAAGGCTCATCAACAGAAATGTTATCTACTTCACCATCACAATTCTCACAGCTACTTATATGTCACACGTGTAATCACAATTACTTGCAAAAAACACCAAATAAAGCCATAACACATGATAAAATAAGCCTAAAACTAAATATAATAGAACCCAGTATAGTGAACACCAGACTCATCAAAGCCCTTACCTGGGTGCAGCTGGGAATGGCAGGTTGCAGTGGATTTGGCCAAGACTTGTAGAACATCCAGTGACCAGCTAAGAACTTTCTGATATGGCGTGTTGAGGGCCACATCTACAATTGCTTCTACAGCACCTGGTGGCCATAGATGTGCACCCTGCCCTGCAAGCAGGTGGAGTCCCTGTAGAACCTGAGCTTTCACAGCCCACCGAGGATCAGTTCGTAGATAATGAAGCAAAAGCGACACCTAATAAAGGAATGTTATCTATGAAGTTGTATTTCTTTGGTAATTCAGGCCTAATGAGTGTTAACGAACAACTGGGAAGCATGCTGATTGTGGTATTCTGAGTTGTTGTGCCACATGGTCTCCTAGGTGCTCACCAACATTCTGGAAAAATATATTGTCTCCATCTTCAAGGTGAACTTAACTTTACCCTGAAGGTAATATATTATTCTGAAATATTGATAACTACATCATGTAAACTTCAGTTGAATTCACCCTAAGATGAAAGAGATACATTCTTCTGAAACAATGTTAACCCCTACAGAACCACACAGCATCATGAACCACAAAGCCACAATCAACATCTTCACCACTGTGAGAACCTCAAATCTCATGCAGACGGAAGTAGTCACGGCTTATATGAAGGTACTGTCCCAAACTGTGACATTAGGAAAGATCTGAAAATATGAACATTATAACAAAAGTTGGTAAATTAAGGATGCAATGGAAACCAATCTACAGAATTCCCTTCAAAGCTTCAAGTAAGACATTGAATAAACAACCATAAAAACCAGGGTCAATGTGGTGAGATAAAATAAATGAAAATTTACAAGCGAAGACACAGAATAAACATGGACATGGAGACAAGAGGAGTACTTGTGGGAAAACAGAAGAGTGGAGGAGACAGGCACAGCACTAGCCATCCTGGTAGAAACATAAGGACATGTAACCCAACATTTACCTGGAGAAACTGAAGGAAATAAAAAGCCTCAACCTGGATATTCATTACCTACCTGGTATTTTACAAATGCAGATCCCAATGTTTCTTTGTATGGTATTTTTTGATTCTGTATAAACTGCAGGGCTTTTAGCATCAAATGAGATACAGGATGATTATGATGGCAAGTTGGAAAACACTGGGGAGGAACAGTTCACGGTACTATTCTCAGGGAAACCAGAAATGTAATATGAAAAGTTGTCCCTGTTCTTAATTACCACACCATGAAAGTTTACAGGAGAGTGGAGGTCATCTTCATGCTTGTCACTTTACCCATGGTGAAAGAGCCCCCAGTATCAGTATCCACTGGGCAGGAGGCTGGATAAGTACCAGAGCCAATCTGGATGCAATGACAAAGAAAAAAACTCTGCCCCTGCCATAAATAAAACCATGGTTATGCAGCCCATAGCCTAGCCACTATGCTGACTGAACTATATAATTCACAACAGCCAGTGCCCTGCTCAGGACTCAATCCAGGTACCTTCAAGCACAACCCTGGAATGTCAGCTCAGATACAATTTTGTGGATGACTTCCAAGAACAAGTATAATACAAACAGAGAACATAAACACATCTATACAAAACCACAGCCCAAACATCATACTTGAATTCTTATTGAGGAACTAATTAAATTAAATCATATCTCTAACCTGATTTGGAATGTCAACCAATGTAGCAGACGCCAACTGTGTCAGAGAGTTTAAGGTGACTAAAACAAATTCTTGAGCAGGATAGCTTGGTAAAAGGTCAGTGCACAACTGCCTAACCATGGCAGCTGTTGATGTATCATGGTGCATATGCTGTAATATGGGAATCAGCTGTAGCTTCATGTGTGCTGGCGTTGCCAATCCCTGGATCATGTCTGAGATCTTATTGCACATACTCAAAGCAAACAGTCTGAAAAAAAAAAGATTAACAAAACTGATTCTTGGGAGACCCCCTGGTGATCCTTATGGGGGTGATTTGTGTTAACCTTAAGATCAGGCTCATGAATTTTAGGACAAAACAAACATTTTTTGTTGGGCATGACCTCGCAGGTAGAATTCTTAAATAACACTGCCACATTCATTCACCAAATGCAACAGGCATTCCAAATTATCTGGCCTGCTATAGTGAGGATAGAGTGAAATAAACAAATACAGGGTTAACAAGACTCATTACATAAAAAACTGACAACAGAAAAGAAAGACTATACAAAAGATTGTTTAGCTACAAGTATCTACTAGATCCAATCATCACAATCAAAAGAACTTTTAGTGACAAAGGAACATTTCCCCAGGAAACTACTTATGACAAAATATAAATCATAAAAATGGTGTGAAAAGACAAGAAACAGTGGACCAATACCCAAACTAAGAATTGAATAGTAGTTTTATGTGTGTGTGAAGAAGTGTTTCAAGATGTACGATACACAAAATATTTTCTATGAGAATGTGAATTTGAATAAGTAGGATTTCAGGTTCTCACAATTTTTTTAGTATAAAGATGGGTGTCTTTTAGGTTACAGCACCCATGTAGTCTGGTAGAAGTTTACCAACATTTCAGATGATGGCCCTGATGATGGAGGAAGCAAAGACCTCTGAAATAAACTTCTACCAGGCTACACAGCACTACATACACCCCAGAAGACAGCAATCTTTATTAAGTTGAATGTTTTAAGTATTTTGCTAACATTTCATTCTTTCACTTATTAAATAATAAAAATATATTTTGTTCCCTGCATGTAGCACAAAAATTCTAAAGAAATTCATTCGCACACAGTCAAAATGTTATTAAAACCTGATTTAAAATTGTGGAATTTGTGGACATTTAAGAAAATTGTGATTTTCTATAAGTTACTTGCCAAAATGAAGTACCGAACAGAAAATAATCCCACATCAGATTCTGGATGGGGTTTAAAAGCCTAAACCCTGAAGGGCTGTTATTTTCAGTTTTTAAAGGATTCCAATTCTATCAGGGAATAATAATGACTAAAATATACTTAGACTGTGCAGCAAACTGCATGGCAGCGTAGATAGCTGCTTCCACCTCAACTGTATCATGAGAATCCAGACTACGACGAATGCTATGATGTACCTGCTGCCTCTCTGGAATAATCCCAGCAACACTACCCAGAGTCCTCAAAGTAAGAGCTCTAGCTACCTGTTAAATGTAAAATATTTAAACACTAAATTACATAATATAAATACAACTTTCACTATTTTACATACCGACAGCACTACTTACTGGGTCATTTGAATGTATGACACTGAAAATTCGGCGTACAAATTCATCAACATTCAATATTTTATCTAGATGCTTCTCACTTTGCTGACAAACACGTAACACCCATACACGCAAGAAATTATTCCTGAAACAACAGGAAAGGGTCATTAGTTGTATATCTACACTGCACGCCATCCAATGCAAAACGTAATAAATAGTTGAGCTCAGCCCAAGAAATGTCAGTATCCTGTCAATTTCAAATGGCATTCGCTGCTGATGGAATAATTAATGTAACACTTCTAATCTTTAAAAATCCCGCCCAGCTGAAGTCCATGCACGAGCTCCCCAAAGTCAATAATCCTCACCCAACTCTGAATACATCTGCAAGTTTAAGCAGAGATGAATTAATAAGAATCGGGAACGGATATTTTTCAAACAGTCTTGGAAATCTCACAATTGCTTCACACTGCTCTCCAACACGTCCAGATCGAAGACCTATAACAGAGAGAATACATATTATGTAAGAAACATAACCTCATTTTGTTGCTGGTAACGCTTATTTTAAAAAAAATTGAGTTTACTAAAACCCTGTGTTGATAAATTACCTTTATCTAACTCTGTTAATGCTGAATTTGCGTCTTGTTCAGGTTCACCCAACCCATTTTCATTGAAAGAATTAACTCTAACACCTAGCATTTTTCAAACTCTCCCATAAACACGGCCATATATTGGTATATATTTGAGACACAGATGTTGACAATTGCCAACGCCAAATGCTTCACAGACAACTTCACAACACAGTTTGGCTGCTTTCCACTGGTTTATATTTTGATAAGCCAAGAGTTATTTGTCTTATTTGTCCGACGAGACTAATCCAATACCGAGGTCAATGACCACTATTTTTGCTATACGAACATGAACGTTGTCAGTGCTTGGGGTAATGAGAATGTTTCTATAGGTGTAATATGCGGTGTTATTGTTTATATATTTATTTTGTATTGAATGAACTGTTCGCAATGACTATTACAAATGTTGAGATGACAAGCCGAGATAATTTTATGAATTCTTTCCATTATTAAGGTTGTATGTGTTGCTCTAATCATTCAATCCCATTCGAAAATCCAAATGCACCTCATATTGATAGGGTCTCTGGTGAACATTAGCCTTATAATTTTAAGCTGTTTGCCCCAGAAAAATAATTATCCACTATAATACTAAAACAAATTGGCTGTTTCGCTCGTGCAACGTATTGTTCTGGAGAGGTAAGGATCGGCACATTTTTCAAAACTGATGTTGGCATTTTGAGCATTTTTTGTGGTGTGGCAATTAAGCAAACGCTGATTAGCTTACTGTATATTCAAGTTAATTATATTGTGTATAGTTCCAGGTTATAGCACTGACTTCACGATACTAGGTTATCGTTGAATGGCTGGTGTACACAAAAGCAGTATTAGTACCTCATGTTGGCTGGCAGAATTCTTGGATCTTCCCAGCTGGACTGCAGGGGTATCATACCCAGGGAGGAATGGAGACCGAGTCAGTAAAATCTGCTCTGAGTGAGCAGAGTTCCAGATCACGTCGATCACGTAGCCACACACACCGAAATAATCATCGCCTACATTCTAATAGAAGTACTAGGTATGTTTTGTGTAGATTTTAGATTCCAGTCTTTTGTTGTGTGCCAAAAGCAGTTGTCACAAAATACTGGTAAACGTTCCAGATCAGTACAAGAAATGTAGCAATGCATAGACAAGTCATAATATTTTATAGGTTATATTTAAGACTTGAAAAATATGGATATCTGCTCATTTTGCACAAGTTTATTTTGTCAGCTGGCAAGCATAAATTCACAGTAGTCACTTATACTAACAGACCTTGTTTCAGGTCTTCTCTTTTTTAAATGATGTTAATAAGCTGGCAGTACCTTTGCTACTGTTTTCTCTTATATCAGACAGCGAAGCCAGATAAAGGTAAGTGATTAGCATAAATATGTCTATAGAGGTAAACAGGAGATTTCAGTGCTTTGAAAAGTTCCTGTTATTATCATTATCTCTTTCCCACTAAGGCTTTGGGTGGCAAGAAAACCCTAACATAATTTTTAGTCATGGAAATGTCAACACTTAATATTCCACTTCATATAGTATTTATTCTGTATATTAATGTGTGTGCTTTTATATGTGTGTGTGTGTGTGTGTGTTATAATTTTGTTTGTTCTGCAGGAGCACACGAAGTCATCGGAAGGGGGACGATCCAATGGCACCTTTTCAAACATCAGTGACTCTAAGTGATGAGAATAGAGATGGTCAGGAGGTGATTGAAGTCCAGATTCTACCTCAGGTTAGTAACTGTGTGAGATCGCATTATAGACAACTCTATTCAAGTTCTTAAATATAAATCAATATGCAGTGAAAGTTAAGAGCATATAATGTAACTTCTCAATTGTTTCTATGATTAAAAACAAGCAAGATACCATATGGATAAATTGTAAAACCCTAGATTTAGTTGTATGAGGGTGTTTAAAAGATAAGGTACATAAATACTTCTTTGTGAAGGACTTTATTCTTACATAGACACATAAGAAGTCTTTGGTACACGTGACTTTCTGCATAATCACCACAGATATTTTAGCATTTATCCCTCCATGACACTAAGGCATCTCTCTCAGCATGGAAGAAATAGGTGTTTAACACCTTCAGCCAGGAAACGACAATGTGCTGCATATCACCATCAGTTCCAAATTGCTTACCAATGAGATGCTTCTTCTTCAGAGGTTCAGAGAGGTGGAAATTGCTTGGGAGTGTTGCTGGTGGTCCAGAACTTCCCACTGATGTGATATGCTGTTATCTTACATTTTGAAACATTCTTGTAATTATGAAAAAATGAAGTTCATATCATTGACTCAAATGTAAAATTGTAAATGAAATACTTTTGTTGTTAAATAAAACTAGGTGTATAGTAATTTCTGCTTAACCAGTAGTAGGAAATATGCTTGCCACTGTTTCAGCAGAAATTTCCATAAAACAATTTTTTGTTTCAAAACTGAGTTTTTGCAGATTCACGTTTTACCTCTAGGCATTAATTTCACTGGTTATAAGAGAATAGCAGACTTGTCTGTCAGTGGTACTGGTTAGTTATTTTATGACCTACATTTTTCATATTGAGTCTTTGCAATACTATTTTTTATTTGGTTTTGCTCATGCAATTTGCAATTAGTGAACATATCTTTCAGAATGCAAGCTGGGTTCATGTTCATTCATCAGGGATTTATGCTTATCCATACTTTTGTCATTTATTCAACTACTTCTTCACTTAGTTCTCCAATAATCATTGATATCTTACCAGTCATTTAATGATTTGTTATTGATGTTTCAGGATGACAACTGGGGTGAGAACACCACTGCAGTGACAGGCAACACTTCAGAACAGTCAGAGGTTGAAGATGTTGGGGGTGGTCAGTGGCCAGGAGAGCCAGACACGGGATTTGGCTTTGTATGTCACCGTTATGTGGGTTCAGTGCTGACAGCAGTACTGTCTGTAGCAGCTTTTCTTAGTCCACTTGCCATGGTAGTCTTGCCAAAATTGGGTTTTTTTCCAGCTCTGAACCCAGGACCAACAGTAGGTTTACAACAGCGCCTTCAGCTCCTTTCATGTGGTGCAGAATGCAAAGGGCTTCTTGTATCACTTGCCTTTAAGCTTGTGCTGCTGGCAGCTGGAGCGTGGGCCATATTCTTGCGACGTCCTCGGGCCACAATGCCCCGAATTTTCCTCTTCCGTGCCGCTGTATTGGTATTGGTATTAGTATGCACCTTTGCTTATTGGCTCTTCTATGTCGTGCAAGTGACAGAAGGAGCAGTAACATCAGCGACTGGAGAGGAAGCAGTTGATTATAAAAGCCTGGTGGCATATTCATCTAGTCTGACAGACACGCTGCTCTTCATCCACTACTTGGCTGTGGTCCTAATTGAGATAAGGCATCTGCAGCCTACGTACTATATCAAGGTGATTGTGGCAATAGAATTTCAGTTAATCCTTAAAATCCTGCATAAATCATTATGACATAATTTGTGAATGTTTGTGTTAAATAGTTAACTGTACAATCACCAGAAAAAAATTTAAACCTTAGACAAAGAAATACATTATATGAGGTGAACCACAGTTTTATGTTCTGGAGTGAATAGAAACAATATTGGCTTAACAGGGGTTCTCAGTGTGTGCATATAATTGGCTACTGTCACCGTGTATGATGAAAAGTAGTTACAGCTACTTGGCATCAGAAAGTAAATTGTATTAATGGCATCACTTTTTGGCAGTGTATCTCACTGTGAGCAGTTTTCATCTTTATGGGGAATGTTAAGTCGAGGACTAGCATATGCCTGATGCATGTAAATTGCAACAACAGAAATTAAACCTGATTTTGAATGATTATGCAAAAGCCATGGCAACTATCTGACCCTTGTCTTATTTTGCTGAAGAAAGTACTGGGTAATGTGAATCTGTTTGCTATAGTATTCCTAATTTAATATATTTGATAAATTGCCATGGTGTTTAAAAAAATTATAACTCCTGTAACCCTGCAGTCTGTAAGTTGATACAAAAGGGTGAATGTGGTATCAGGTTTGGAAATGGTTGCGAACCCCTGGCTTATAAGGTTCTTGAAAAGAGAAACATTTGATCAGTATATTGCGACATATTGATAAAATAACAAAATGCTTGTGTAAATTCTAGAATAAAATGCATATTTCTACATGGGCACATGTTCTTTGTTAATAGAAAATTAAGTAATATGAAAGGAACATTTTAAATACTTCTTGTCAGATGAAGTATAAAGAATTTGCATGTAGTGGAGAGAAGTTAATACAGTGAAACCTCTATCCATCGTTCCCGGAACTATCGTTTTCCCGGATGCATCGTCCGTTTTGTTCGGTCCCGAATACATCCCATATAAAATAATGTTACATTTTCCCGCTTCTATCGTTCCTCGAACTATCGTTTTATCGCATCGATCGTTCAAAAATCGTAGTCCCGGCCCACAATTTTCCCGCAATGATCGTTCCTGAGAATTTAAAATGCTGGGTTTAGAGATAAATTAATAC